GCATGCGATCCGAGATCCCTGAATAAGGTAGCTTAAGCAGAAGGGCTTAGGGTTCTGAAAGGGGGATTAGGTGTTCTTTTAAGGCTTCTAGGGTTCTATAAGCGTCAAGGACTGAGCTCTATGGAAAGCTCGAGAGTTCCAGAAAGGTTCAGGGTTTACTAAAAGCCCCCTTACAACCCCAAAGCCCCAAAACCCTAGACCCCAAGACCCCAAAACCCATAAACCCCCAAAGCCCTAAACCCCCAAAGCCCCCAAAACCCCACAGAGCCTCGCCCTCAAAGAGCTTTCGCTGCACGGCGCCGTGCACGCCTCGGAGGCTGGGTTCTTCTGAAGGGTCGCGGTTTAGGGTTTAGGGTCCGTTACCATAAGAGGGATCTATAGGGTTCAGGGTTTCAGAGTTTAGGGGATCTTTGGGGCTCAGGGCTTCAGGGTTTAGGGATCTATAGGGTTCAGGGTTTAGGGGAACTAGAGGGTTCAGGGCAGTGCGGTTTGGCATAATGAGGGTCTATAGAAGATAGTTAAGTAGAAGGTTTCCTTACGCTAACTTCAACTAAATGCCTTAAGAAGAACCCAGGAGTGGCCCACCAGGTACCCTTAATGCAGAGAGTAGGGGTTCAGGGCGGGAGCTTCTGGGGTTTGGAGCGGGGCTTTGGGTTTTCAGATTTTGGGTTTTCAGGTTTGTGCAGGGTTAGAGCTGTTAGGGTTTAGTTTAGGGTGTTGGGGGGCGAAGCTTCAAGCCCAGAAAGGGCAAGGGGCTGGTCCCAGTTCAACCTTACATGCGACATCCTGAACTCCAAGCCCGGAGCCTGACAGCCGCTGATGTTGACCCCGAAGATGGAGGTTCATGCGAATGAACCCTAAACACTTCAATCCCTTTAGAATGGCCTCAAACCCCCACCCCCGAGGCCTACGAGCACTCCTAGCTACCTGCGTGATGCTCTTTGGGGGATGGAAGCAGAGAAGCCCAACCAGCCGATACCCAGCCCAAAACATTGGGCCTCATTCTTCCCTTCATCATGGCCGCTGTAGCAATAATAACAATCCGGTAATGGGGCTGAAGGTAGCAATTTTGCAGGTTAGTGTGTCTGGGATCAACATGGTCAGTAGGAATTTGGGGCCTGAGGGTTTTGAGAGCAACTGGAACCGTCTGCAGTGGGCACTTACACGGTTGGCCTTTTAAGGCCTTTGAACAATATTTGCAAAAAGTACCCTCTTAGGCCCCAAAAGGCGAAAACACAAAACGTCCGGAAGGGCTACCTAGCTACGAGTTGAGTTCCTGGCCTTTCAGGGCCCTCCACGGTACGTCGACCTCAACTTAGCTCTTGCGGCTTTTCTCTAAGGTGAGATTTGGGGAAAACCCACGAAGCTCTCTTTCTTTCTCAGGAGCCTTTACAGTGCTTTCCAGGGCTTCGAAGCTTCAACAAGGTCTTGTCAAGGTCACAAGGGCTTGTAAGGCTTTGTAAGGGCTACACGGATGTGCCGAGCTCTCTGCTGAGAGCTCACAGGGGTGCAAGGCTTCATAAATAGTTTCGGACGTTTGGGGGGTAAACAACACTTCTTGTCTTCAGGGCTGCGTAGTATGATTTTGAACCTTATCGACCTCACCCGAGCCCCGGAGGTAAACCTGGAACTCGACAAGACTCAACAGGTTGAAGCCTGCTGAAGCCCTTCAGTCCAAAGCCGAAAGCCCCGAACCCTGAATCCTCATTAAACCCACAGTGCCCCCAAGCCCCAAGAAAACGCCCCCGGCCCTAAACCCTAAAGTACGGAACCGAAGATTTGGAGTTTAGGATTTAGGGAGACAAGAACCTGAAATACAAAGTCCTTTTTGCCCTAAACCCGATACCTCACAACCCTAGATTCCTAGGTCCCACTGGTACACTCCCTAGTATATATCCCAAACCGTCCGTCCTCCAACCCCAAGCCCAAAACCTTAAGCAGGAAGACCGTAAGCCCAGAGTGCCCAGAGCCCTAAACCTGAACTGCCAGATCCTATCCGAGACACTGTACTCAACAACCTGATACCCTTTTTGTATCAGCCCTAAACCCTAAATCCTCGAGGCTCCACCGAGCCCTAAGTAGGTACCGCTTCTAAACTTTAGACTTTAAACCCCAAAATATGCACTATTTGTAAGAAGGCCGGAACATAGAGGACTGGGCTTCGGGGCTCTTTCACTGCAATAACGCGATGTTCCTACACCTGCATTACCCGAAAAGGTAGGTTTTTTCGGCTACAGGTAAACCCTAAACCCTAAACCCTAAACCCCTAAACCCTAAACCCTAAACCCCTAAACCCTAAACCCTAAACCCTAAGCCCGAAGTGTAGGACTCTAGACCCTAAAACCCCTAAACCCTAAATCCCTTTTTTGACACCAGACTGGATTATTGCATCTGGGAAGTTGCGCCGCCAAACTCAAACCTAAATCCCTGAACATCCCTAAACCCAAGACCCCTAAACCCTAAACACTGAACCCTTAAACCCTAAACTCTGAGCCCCTAAAAGCCCGAAGCCCTTGTTTGAAGCTCCTGGCTCGGGCCCAAGCCGCCCTTGCAGCCCGCTCCTGTGCCCTCAGTCAGTTCGGGTTAGGATTTGGGGTTCAGGGTTTTAGGGTTTAGGGATTTAGGGTTTAGGGTTTAGGGATTTAGGATTTAGGATTTAGGGTTTAGGGATTTAGGGTTTAGGGATTTAGGATTTAGGGGTTAGGGTTTAGGTACAAGGGAGCTTTTGCAGGGCCTTTGGGCTTTGGGGGGTTATGAGAATTGGATTGCGGATTCCGGGGCTTACGGCTTGCTTTTGCCTCTGCATGAAATTGGTCCTGCACACCAGGGAACATTTCTGCAAAGATGCTTTCAGAACTTGGAGTTCAGGGCTTCACGATATGATCTCTGTCGCTCTCTCTGCCGTTACATTCTGAAGGTCTAGTCTAGCAGCGCCAAGCAACGCATGAGGCTTCACGATGTTTGGGGCTGTAACTGTAGGCTATCGTGAACAAGGATAGTATTATGTGCGCAAAATATCGAGTTTCTGACGGTTAAGGTGGTTCTATAGGGTGGTGGAGAAGGTTTGTGACTCAGAGAACACGGCTTTACGAGTCTGTTTTGGGGCCATCATGTACGACGTGGGGTTGTATGATAACCCCCGTATTAAAATCCTTATCCCTA